ATATTCTTTAAAAAAATCTTCTCCTCTTTCCTAATTTTTCAAATTTTCCTTATTCTCTTTCATACTTTAATCTCCCCCATAAATCTAAAGTGATACTTGAAATTTAATGGAAGAAGTAATAAAGAGCATAACAAAAACATGTTTCATTTTCTACTCTCTAATCAATTCTCTTACAAAATGACAATTGTACAAAGACTATTCACACTTCCTACATGCTGCTGCTGCCATCCGATCGATCCGCAGCAGGGGCGGCCCTGTATGTTCAATGGCCTAGGGGCGGAAAATAAAAATGGGCCTAATGTTACAAGAAATTTGTGGAACTCTTTTCTATCTTAAATGACATGCATAATAATTATAATTATAATAATAATATTTTAAGACATTTAGAATTTGTCTTTTTTACACAAACAAACTTTTCCATTGAGTGTTTTTTTTTACTTATCGCCGCTTTCTTTAATCTTCTATTCTTTTGTATTTATCGTATTCAGATTCAATCCTTTTTATTACACTTTGAAATTAATTAAGTTTATAATTTTATCATAATTGAAATGTTTGTCTAACAAATTCAACAAGTTATAATACCAACACTCAATAAAAAACAATCAACAATTACGAAATCAAACAACCATGAATGAAATCAATTAATAAACTAATCAAATAATCACATCCGACTAATCTGCTTTCGAGTGAAATTTCTTTATGAAATTTTTTAGAGAATGTTTTCATCACGTGTAGATTATGTCCATAAAATTTGAGCTTAAAATGCAACCGTGAAGTCAGTTAAATAAATTATTGAAACACAATGTGCCAAAATATGGATAAAAAAGCAGTGTTTTCAATAATTTATTTAGGTGACTTCTAAATTAAACTTTAAATTGATTTTTTTCTCACATATTCTAAACTTCATAGAAAACATTCAGAAGAACTTCAACAAATTCCACTCGAAAAATTGTTACTTTAGGGTCGAAAATCAGCCTACACACATGTTACAAAGAACTAAACTTGGGCCTATTTTTTACCCATATTTTTTTTGGGCCTAGGGCGCCCGCCCCACTTGCACCCCCCCTAGGGCCGCCCCTGATCCGCAGCAGGGTTCTATCGCCATCGAAAATTTCCAGAATGCAACCGCCACTAGTAGCTTGATGCCGCTGGTCACTGGTCGTCATCGGAGCCGCCGCCGCCGCCACCAACGGATCGGACTGAAAAAGGAGAGGAAATTACCAAAATGCGGGACTTTTTGGAACATCTCCTGTCGGAATCCGCAAATCCAACTAGGGGAACCTTTTTTTTAGAAATTATATATAAATCCAAAAAACACATAATTCCATTTTAATTACTCTCGTCCGAATTAGTAAATCCGTCTAGAGGAACACCTAGATTAGGTTGAGAAAAAAATAAGTAAAAACAAACCGTCGAATACTCAATTCCGACTAGGGATATTGAACAAAAAAATTATGTATAAGTGCAAAACTCCAACAATATACACGTCCACTCCATATAGCAAATAATACTCATTCATTAGGAATTAATTTATACTAGGTGGGCCCTAACTGATAAGCAATTATGTCCTATATACTACGGAGTATATACTATAGCAACTATAATTATCATAGAAATTTGCTATACGGAGTATATACTATCGTAATATGAAGTATATACTTATTAAATAATCCGTAGCAATAAAATATACTCTAAGAAGCTGTTCTGTTCGTCTTAATCTTATTACGTATTGCTTATTCTTATTTTATTCAGATCAGATCAGAAAAATTCAGATCAGATCAGATCAGATCAGAATCATTCAGATCAGATCAGAAACATTCAGATCAGATCAGGAACATTCAAATCAGATCAGGAACATTCAGATGAGATCAGAAAAGTTCAGACATGATTTATCTCTTTTATTATAATAACAATTATAATAATATTAATAATAATTATAATTATAATTATTATTATTAATTTATTATTATTATTATTCTTGTTGTTATTGTAATTATTATTATATTTACTATTATTATTGATATTATTATTATTATTATTATTATTATTATTATTATTATTATTATTATTATTATTATTATTATTATTATTATTATTATTATTATTATTATTATTATTATTATTATTATTATTATTATTATTATTATTATTATTATTATTATTATTATTATTATTATTATTATTATTATTATTATTATTATTATTATTATTATTATTATTATTATTATTATTATTATTATTATTATTATTATTATTATTATTATTATTATTATTATTATTATTATTATTATTATTATTATTATTATTATTATTATTATTATTATTATTATTATTATTATTATTATTATTATTATTATTATTATTATTATTATTATCATTATTACTATGATTACTATGATTATTATTATTATGATTATTATTATGATAGTATTTATGATTATCATGATTATTATTATTGTTATTACTATTATGGTTGTTGTTGTTATTGTTATTAGTTTTTTTGTTATTACTATATTATACGGAGTAATTACAATTTAAATTATAGAAATAAATATTATAATTGTAATTAAAATTATAATTATAGAAATAATTATAACTAAAAATATAATTACAATTATAATTATAGCTTTTTTTTTTACTCCAGGAGGCGTCTGGGGGGGGGGGGGCTGAAGTAAACTAGGTTGAAACTCACCCCATTGAGTTTCGAACCCGATACCTCCCATAAGGGAGAGTGAGTCGGCGACCAGCTGAGCTGGACTGCTTCCTCTAATTATAGCTATATTTATAACTAGTGTAATACGTATAATAATAATTATACCTATTATAATTATGATTATAATTATAATTATAATTTTTTTATAATTATGATTATAATTATAATTATATTTAAATTATATATGTGTAATTACATTTCTAATTATGATAATTATAATTATAATTATAATTATAATTTTAGAAATATTCAAATCAGATCAGATCAGAAGGATTCAGATCAGATCGGAAGGATTCAAATCAGATCAGGAACATTCAGATCAGATCAGATCAGGAACATTCAGATCAGATCTGGAACATTCAGATTAGATCAGGAACATTCAGATCAGATAAGAAAGATTCAGATCAGATCAGACCAGATCAGAATGATTCAGATCAGATCAGAACTTAAAAAATTCAAATCAGAAACATTCAGATCAGGTGAAGAGAACAGCTTCTAAATCCCACTAAAATTGTTTCATGCGAAGTATCAAATTTGGTAAAGTTTATGTGACTCTAAATCATTTTTTCTTTATTATTACTTTATTAATTCAATATCAATCACATAAACTAACTTTTCTAAATAATCGGGTCATCCCAAAATTTAAAATTCTTTGTATTTATAGTATAAAAATTTATTTGCTGGAAAATTCCTTATATGGCCCACCCCAAGCTTCGATCCTAGCTATGCCCCTGACCGTAGTAAAATATTAACCAATCTTTGAATTCTAAATGAAAAAAGTATGTAGTATTTTTTTTTTTTTTGGGGGGGGGGGGGTGGTGGGCCTCAACTACAATCCGCTCCTGGTTGTTTTATACAAGTATTATAAGTAATTATATTCTCGCCTACGGTGGTTTGGTCATATGCGTAGAAGACCGAATGATGCACCTGTCAGACGTGTTGAGATGTGTGGAGAGAGAGAGAGAGAGAGAGAGAGAGAGAGAGAGAGAGAGAGAGAGACCCAAACAGACGTGGGTTAGGGCAGTACGAAGTGATATGCTGCTTCTTCTTGGGTTAGATGATGGTATGGCTTTGGAGAGAGCAAAGTGGAGGACAGGTATTCGTGTGGAGGAGTGATCTCGTATTATTATTATTATTATTATTATTATTATTATTATTATTATTATTATTATTATTATTATTATTATTATCCCCTCATCTTTTTTCTTCTTGTTTTTTTATTCTTTTATACTTATATAAAACATTATTTTTATCCTTTTTTATTTTATCATTTTTAAGTATATTCATCCCGTTTTATAATTTTTTTTATAATAGCTTATTTTTTTTATCTTTATTTTCTTTCTTTTCTTTTTGGTGGTGTTATCATGTATCGATTCATGTTAGCCGATCCCAATATCTTTTGGGACCAAGGCTTGGATGTTGTTGTTGTTGTTTATTCTCATTCTAATTCTATTAGCATGTAATATCGAATAACATTTGTATTTGTATTAATATTGCAATACTTGTTACGTAGTATATTACTCAGTAGTAGTACTTCCGTTCTTAAATAAATGCAACATGTTGAATAATTTTACACTATTCACATGTTCTACTTTGATTATGTTTTATTTATTAATGTATAAATATATTTTTTTGAAAAAAAAAATATTAAATTTTTCTCATATATATAGTAAATTTTCAAAATCTATTTTTTTAAAATTTTTTACTTATAGAGAACTATACATATTAATGGTCAAAGATGTGTCTCGGCAATGCGAAATATATATCGTCTGTTGCATTTATTTAAGAACGGAGGAAGTATATTATTGCATTATTGTATTATATACGTAGTATATTGATGACGTATTATACTTCCTCCGTTCTTAAATAAGTGCAACAGTCAACATTTCACACTTTCTGAGGCACAACTTTGACCATTAATATATATATATATATATATATATATATATATATAATTCTCTATTAGTAAATTTTTTTTAAAAAATTAGTTTTTGAAAATTTACAATGAGACAAATTTAATAATATAATTTTCAAAATTATATATTAATACATCAATAAATAAAATATAGTCAAAGTAGAACATATACGAAGTATATATATATGCACAAAACACAAATTAATGTTTAAAGTTGTAAGGTTTAACGAGTACACAGACTTATCCGCAAGTAATCCAACACTATAAAATTATAAATCCTCATAAATTCTTCGTGAAAAACATTCAAAGTAATAGTGTAGATTTTATAATTATTTATTATTGTGGACTCCTTATATAATTATGACATTTATTCTCTTTATATATATCTGTCAGGGCTACCAATATGGTTAAGCCTGGTAATTATCTTCACATGGTATCAAGAGCCATAACATCCCTACCCTAATTTTTTTTAGGCCGATGTCTTCAACCGATCCCCAGAGCTCCGTCGCACCAGAAGTTTCTACCACCATGTCTGCGCCAGTTTCTACTGCAGCTGCGACCGGCGAGCCCGCCTTCATCGAACCTATCCCTTCCGCAGCAGAGTCCTTCTCTTCTCAGTCTCAATTTTTTGAACCGGTGATTTCCCAGGTGGCTCCCTTGCGGTCGTCTCCTTCATTCTCAGTCTCAGATGGAGTGGCTTGGGTCCCGCCAGTGTTTAATTGGTCTCCTACCAGGCCAACGATCTTCAATCCTCCTGGCTCGTCCTTCGAAGATCGTCCGGCAGCTACGCCGTTCTTCTCCAGCGCTCGGGTTCCATCTGTCGAGCCCTCCGGTTCCAGCTTTGTCGGACCGACTTTTGCTGGCGCTCCAGGTATATCTCCTCTGCTTCCTGCTGTATCTCTAGGGCCAATTGGATCGTGTACTGCTGCAGTGCCATCTCCAGGTTCTAATATATCAGAACTTGTTAAAAACATTGGTTTTTCGGCGCTTAATATCACTAATATCGTTACTACGAAACTGGATGCTGTTGAGGATTATTTGACTTGGCGTACTTAATTTGAGTCGTTCTTGGTGTCTAATAGCTTCTTGGGAATTTTAGATGGTTCCATTCCTGCCCCCCCCCCCCCCCCCCCCCGAGGTGCGTGAACCTAAAAATGCTTTTGCTATCTGGAACCGATTGGAATCACACTTTATGTCTGCTAGTCTGGCTCGTTCCATGGAATTGAAACGCCAACTTTCTCATTCTAAGAAGCGTTCCAATCAACCCATGGAACACTATTTACGAGACATTAAAGATATTGCAGATCGTCTTGCTGCTATTAATGCACCGGTGTCTCGTCGGGAGTTGTTTCAATATATTTTACTTGGCCTTGGTCGAGATTATGAGTCTCTCATCACTTCTGTGGACTTGTTTCCGGATAGTTTTACTTTCGAGAATCTCCGTACTAAATTGGTTGAGAAAGAGCAAACCCTTCAATACATGAATGCTCAGGAGGAGACTCAGCCCGCTATGGCTTTTGTGGGACAAGCCCAGACGGCTGCCCAGCAGCACCCAGGTCACGGCCAGCAGCAGGCTGGCGGACAGCAGCAGCAAGCCGGTGCTGCAGCACCTCGGGGCAGGGGCTATTGCGGTGGTCGAGGAGGCCGCGGTCAGCGAGGTCGCGGTGGTCAGCGTGGTCGTGGTTATCATCAGTATGGCTATGCTTATCCTCCACCGGGCTATTTTCCAGGGGGTGCACCACATGCAGGCATTCTTGGGGCTCCAGGTTCAGCTTGTATGTCTGTTCAGTCAAATTTTTATACTTATGCCTTATCTACTTTCTCTACTAACCATGGTTTCGCAGGCTCTTCCTCAGTTGAGGGAAATTCAGTTCCTCCTCCGGTTTTTTGTCAAATTTGCTATGCTCCAGGTCATCTCGCTTCCACTTGTCCCTCTCGTTTCATTTAGCCGGCTGCCCCTGCTCAGGCCCCTGACGCTTCTGATTTGGTTTGGTATCGTGACTCAGGTGCCTCAGCTCATATGACTCCGCACTCAGGTATTTTGTCAAATAAATCTTTTTCTCCTAATTCGCATTCTATAATAGTAGCAAATGGAACGACTCTCCCGGTTATGCACACGGGACATGTCTCATTACCTTCTTCGACAAGGCCTCTTCACTTGAAATCTGTTTTGCATGTTCCCCACATTAAATATAATCTTTTATCCATTCAGAAATTGTGTGTTGATAACAACTGTGCTGTGATTTTTGATAAAAATAATTTTTTGGTTAAGGATTTAACAACGGGGGTGGTCCTTCTTCGAGCTCGCAGTGATAACGGCGTATATCCCATCCGTCAGCTTGCACCTCAGCCTGTTGCCCTCTCTGCTGCGTCCCTTTCCGTTTGGCACAATAGATTAGGCCATTGTGGTTCTCGTGTTTTAGATCAGCTTAGATTAAATAATTTTATCTTTGGCACTTTTGCTAATATTTCTGCGTGTATTCCTTGTTGATTGGGCAAATCGCAACGGTTACCATTTAATAAAGTTTTTCATAATAGTCCGTATGCCTTATATTTAATTCATTCTGATGTTTGGCAGTCTGTAGTAATTAACTTTTATTTTTATGTAACCTATTTTTATTATAACTTAAATTTTTTATATTGATAAACAAATAAATATTCATCTCAACTATATCACATAGGATGTATGTATTCATAAACTTCTTTTAAACTAGTCACAAATAATGTAAATTAAGAATATATATACACTTCTATCTCTCCCGCATACTCATATAATTCAAGACATAGTTGTTTATTATTATTTTCTTTATTTGTTCAAGTATTCTTGCATTTTTTATGTAATATGTTTGATCCCTCCAACTTTTATATCAATTTTAAATCAAATGACAATTTTTTTAGTAAAAAACCGAAAAAACTGAAACCAAACCGAAACAAACCGAACCGATCAAACCGTGGTTCCAAGTTTTGGAGTGTAAAACCGAACCGAAACCGAACTTTTACTTTGGTTCCGTATTTGGTTTTAGGTCAAAACCGAACCGAAAGAACCGAACTCACCCCTATTGTTGACATCACACATGACACATGAGGACATAGTACTTCGTATTTAGAGTATTGGTATTGGTATTGGTCTTTACTTTGTAAAGTCAATGAGACAATAACATGTGAGCCCCCCAAAAACAATAATTAGAAGTGAAACACAAAATGGAATGATTGAAAATGGATGAGAAGACCATCTGTCTCGCATCTTTCGCAGCTACTTTACCACCCTTTTCACTTGAACTTCAACAATAAGTGGAAATCATTCAACTAATTAATGTAAAAGTATTTTGTAATGGAAACCTACCACGGCTCCGCCGTCGTCAGCGACGTCGATACCATTGTATAACCCGTTAAAAGAAATCGCAGTCTACCCAATTATGCCAGCCGTTATTTATATCATACACAGCACGTATTCCACAAAAGTATTTAATTGGTACACATTGGAAGTTAATTTTAAAAAGTGTCATTAGCCACACCACCAGGCCAAAACACATGCACACCGACCCAATAAAATAGTAATTAATTACAAAATATCTATCCACGAGCATTTATAAATAAAGTTTATAACAAAATGGGGAAGCACAAACTAAATCTCCACCAGGTTGGACGACAACCTTAAGGACAACATTCTTAATTAGACCAATCATAACTTTATTCACTGTTATATTACCATTCTTGGCACCTAAGGAAATAGAGAAACACAACTCTCTATGAGGATATTTCTCTAACTACTCTCATGTCGTTTACAACATTAAAAGGGACCTCAACTCTATGACTGCATAAGAATAACCCGAACCCGCACAACCCGCCCGACCCAACCTTACCCGACCCTATTTAATCAGGTATTTGATTTTGAAAAGGGATAAGGGTCAGATAGGGCCTCGAACTCGAAAAAAAATGTCAAATAAGGTCATATTTCGGATGCTCTGTCTGGCCGACGCCATTTGGGGCGGTTCCCGATGGAATTTTTTGATGAAATTTTTTGAGCATCTTCCTCATTAAGTCTAGTTTACCCATACCAAATTTCAGCTAAAAATTCAACCGGGAAGGTAGTCAAATAATTTTCCGAAATGTACGGCGTTGTTTAACTTCACAGTTATCTTCAAAAATTCATTTGACTACCTTCCCGGTTGAGTTTTTAGCTGAAATTTGGTATGGGTAAACTAGACTTAATGAGGAAGATGCTCAAAAAATTTCATCAAAAAATTCCATCGGGAACCGCCCCAAATGGCGTCGGCCAGACAGAGCATCCGAAATATGACCTTATTTGACATTTTTTTTCGAGTTCGAGGCCCTATCTGACCCTTATCCCTTTTGAAAAATATTCATGGGTTAAATATGTTTGAACCCGCACCTAATGGGTAGGGTTGAGGAACATGACCGTCTTTTAGGAGGTGCAATAGGTGCTTCGCACCGGGGTCTACTCTTGTAGAGGGCCTCCAAAAAGTGAGAGGGTAGTATTAGTTGAAGGTTGATTTTTCTAAGATGTCATGTATTATTCAAGATTCCAAAAGGCATGTAACCTTTAAATTCTCTAATTTATGCACTTTAAACTTCATAAAATTTATATTTCATTGAATTGTCTAAACTATTTGTGTTTCATTGTCAAAATTTGTATTTTTTCTTGTCTTAGGGACCTCAATTTGTCATTTGGAACCGGGGCTTCTAAATTCATTAGACGGACCTGTTGAGGAATTAAAATCTCAAACCCACTGAGCCGGCCAGAAATTGACCATCCGTGTGTTGCACCCTACTGAGGCCACGGTTGTGTCTGCACCATAACCTGCAGCTTCCTCACTAGTAGAGAGTGGGCATGAATGGAATTCTCACAGTATGGGACACAATTCAACCTCCTACTTCATTACTGCTCCTGGAAGAGTTATGGTGTTGCTCTATTTGCTCGTGTAGAGACAGTGTCTGACCATGTGGTCAAATTTAGGTTCAGTTTTGTTGGTGTTGATTTAATGATTTCTTTACCTTGTTTTTGAGATTTTATGTAGTAGCACTTTGGATTTATAAAAAAAACGATTGAAAAAGTGTAGTAGCTAGATTTATAGTATTTGGCTTTATTTCAGTTGATGTATGTATTAGTTGGTTACATGTAAATAAAATGTATTGAATCGTAAGTATATCAGTTAGTTTCTCGTACGTTTTAAAAGTGTTGCTTCTAAGTTGATTAGAAAATATTGGTGCTCATTGTAACAGAATATATGTATGAGGACATTAATTTTACAAAGTGACTAATCCCAAGGGTTTTGTCATGAATATTACTTAAAAAGGGGTAATGGACAAAAAAGAGACCTCTTTTTTTAACTTCCAAAAATGTGATTAATAAATTCCTACTTTTCTAAATTGCCCCTCCCACATATAACGGTCAACACTCGACTGCATATTTTACTCCGTAACGTTGTAGTCTCGCACTATGTCTCACTTCACTGCTTTTTAATAATATTGCACACTAAACTTTAATTTTTCTTATCATTTTAATATACGAGTATATAATAATAATAATAATAATAATAATAATAATAATAATAATAATAATAATAATAATAATAATAATAATAATAATAATAATAATAATAATAATAATAATAATAATAATAATAATAATAATAATAATAATAATAATAATAATAATAATAATAATAATAATAATAATAATAATAATAATAATAATAATAATAATAATAATAATAATAATAATAATAATAATAATAATAATAATAATAATAATAATAATAATAATAATAATAATAATAATAATAATAATAATAATAATAATAATAATAATAATAATAATAATAATAATAATAATAATAATAATAATAATAATAATAATAATAATAATAATAATAATAATAATAATAATAATAATAATAATAATAATAATAATAATAATAATAATAATAATAATAATAATAATAATAATAATAATAATAATAATAATAATACATTTGGATAGGGAAACATTGGGATCTTAAATATTTAAAATATTTTACTAAAATTGTACTACCTCCGTTTTTTTTAAATCTTCACAGTTTGACTTCACACAAAATAAGGAAAGAAATTTGACTTTACTGTAGAGTACACTGTTGAGGCACTGTTTGACACTGTTTGGCACTGTAGAGACACTGTTTGGCACTGTTGAGACACTGTTTGGCACTGTTTGGCACTGTTTTGGTGTAGATTTCTTTGCCAAAAAAGGAAATAAGGAAGTGTGAAGTTTATTTTAGACCGTCCCAAAAAGGAAAGTGTGAAGTTTATTAAAAACCGGAGGGAGTACAAAAATCATCTCAGCTACTAGTGCTCTAGTGACTACTGTTACAATTACCATCACTTTAGTTACCGTCATCTCAGTTACTAACGTTCTAGTTACTACCGCTCCGGTGACCACTGTTGCAGTTACAAGTGCTCAAGTGACTATCATCTCAGTTACTATCGTTCCAGTGACTACCGTACAATTAATTAATAATGTTCCAGTTACTACCTCTTCAGTGACCACTGTCCCAGTTACTATTGCTCAAGTGATTACCCCAGTTACAACTATCCGACTCGTCCAGTTACGATTACTCCGACCCGTCATCCAGTTACAGTTACCCGACCCGTCCAGTTACAGTTATCCGACCCATCATCCAGTTACAGTTACCCGACCCGTCCAGCTACCCGACCCATCCTCCAGTTACTGTTACCCAATCCGTCGTCCAGTTACAGTTACCCGACCCGTCCAGTTACAATTACCGCCCGTTGTCCAATTACAGTTACCGGACCCGTCGTTCAGTTACAGTTACCCAACTCGTCGTCCAGTTACAGTTACACGATCCGTCCAGGTACAAGTATCTGACTCGTCCATTTATTGTTACCAAATTCTTCAGTTACTGTTATCTAATTTGACCTGTTACAGTTACCAACGTCTATCCATTCAGTGACGAACGTCTATCTGTTCAGTGACCAACTTCCGCCAATCCATGACCAAGCCCGTCCATCCGGTTATAATTATCCAACCCAACTAATTACCCACCCCAGCCACCGTCGGAGACCACCGCCTCCGGCAACTGCCCCCACCGCCGAGCACACCCTCGCACCCGTTTCAGCCAGCCCCTCCCCTACCTAAGCCAACCCCATGCCCCACCACAGCCCCTGCCCCTCTGCCACCACCACGCACCATCCCCCAGCCCACGCAAAGACTCTCCTTTACCCCCACCATAGCCCCCAACCCTAGCCCTCAGCCCCCTCCCCAGCCTGAAATCCTCTACTCCCTAACCCCAGTCGCATCTCTCCAGCCCGTCACCCAATATCCGCACAATCGCTGCCCTACCTCTACCAGCAGCCGCCGCATCATCGCAGATCTGGAATCGTCATCGCCTGGGCGTTGCCGGACAGAAAGAGAAGAAAAAGAAATTGGGCGGGGCGGCGGCGAAGACCTGGTTCTGCTTTGTTACCGGCGTAAGGGGAAGAAGAGGATCAAATGATTGCAGACAACGACGACGGAGATCGGACCAGGCGGCGGAGAAAGGAGCGGCAGAGGCGAGATGTCATCGGCAATCGCAGAGTCAGAGCCGCTGCCGTTGGACGTCGTCGCCATTCGCCGGAGTTGAAGCGTTGGTTTGGGAACCAAGACGACCTTCCTTATTCGTGAGCTCTCGTTCAGACGGAATAGGAGGGCAATGGATGTGCAGTACCTCTCGTTCAGACGAAGGATGAACATGGTTGGGATAGATTTTAATACTCCTATTTATATAAGGGTACTTCGGTCAGTTCAGATTTATTTAGTCTCATATTTGTCCGGATTTTAATTAAGTCTTAGTTTTGTAAATGTGAAGCCCCAAATTAAAATATGAATTCATGTCTACTTCCCTTTTATTACATTATGAAAACACAGACAATTTTTTCACGCCCAAACAATGTAAATGAACGCACAGACAATTATTGTTTATACACAAACAAAATAAATGAACACACAATAATAATTATATTTATGCACAGACAAAATAAATGAACACACAGACAATATAAACGAAGACATGAATGATGCTTGGAATATGCACAGTAAAAAAAACACGACCGACAATTGCTTCGATGTGGTCATGAATCGTTTGTGTTCCAATTTTATTGTCTGTGCGTGTTTGAATCATTGTCTGTGTGTTCGCTTAGTTTGTCTGTGCACATTAGAAGCATTGTCTAGGTTTCAATTACATTGTATGTGTGTGATTAAAACATTGTCTGTGTGTTTGTTTATTTTGTCTGTGCATAAACAAAAACTGTTGTTTGTGTGTTCATTTATTTTGTCTGTATAGTCTAAATATCATTTATGTATTCATTTATATTGTCTGTGTGTGGTTAAAGTTATCTATGCATAAACAATTATTGTTGTCTGTGTGTTCATTTATTTATTTTATAGTCTATGTCTTCGTTTATATTGTTTGTGCATGGTTAAAACATTATCTATGTATTCATTTATTTTATTCGTGCATACACACTAGTTGTCTGTGTGCTTGTTCATATTGTCTCACAAAATCGTATTTATTTTCATAATTCTCATTCTTTTTCTCCAAATCTAATAAAGTTCAATGCAAATTACATAATAGTATAACATATCTAATAAGGTTCCATACAAATTACATATAAGATTAAACTCTACTCTTTCTGCATCAATAACACCATCTTTTGTAACTTTGGTGCACCACAACTTTGTTCAATCACAACATTGCATCCCTTTGGACCCATGGTGATTTTCAAGGCATCAGCAAGCTCTTCCACTCCCTGGAGCACCAAGTGAAATGAATCTATTTTTTATATACTATAAAACTCACAAGTTATATGTGTTTTAACAAATATTCAAAAGCATATATGGAATTGCAAACTTTTTTTTTTTGGAATTACTTCTTTTTTGTATTAATCATCAAAACTCTCACTTACATATTACTCATTCATCACAAGAAAACATGTATCAAACTTACCATAAAAAAAGAGGAACACGAGATGAGAAAAGCCTTATGAGATAACCTTTTACTGCATATGTCCTTAATGTTCTTCATTGGAATATTTTATCAAACACAATGTGAGCATGATAAAATAGTCAATTCTTGAGCATTAGGTATCATGATGAAGAGCATAAATACGAACAGTGAAGCAAACTAGTCAAACAAAATTCATTATAACATAACTAAAATATACAATTCCAATAAAAAAAGCAATCAAAAACTAATTTTACATAACAAAAAGAAGAAAAGCAAGTTATATAATGAGTTAAATTTGAGGAGCTTGGTTTGTTGGTGGCCGAAAGGGTCGAATTGCTCATAGATCATCCTGCGGCTGCCACCTGTAGAAAATTATAAGAGAATCCACCAAGAAAGAAGACAGATGAGATCTGTAAAATTAGAAAGAAAAGAAACCAACGAGAAGAAAAGAAGTTGGAAAAGGAAAGGGAGAAGAGGGAAGATAGACTCGTGCGAGAGAGAGGAGGGTACAACCGCCGCACAGGAAGGGAGTTGAGTTTGGGGGAGAATGAGAAGAGAAAGGGTAAAAGGAAAGAGTAAAAAAAATACTCTTTTATAGTGTGTACTAATGTGTACAAAAGTGTGTACACAAAGCAATTTTGGGTTCAGAAAAGTCATCCAAAAAACAAAAATTCCTTTTGTACACGTTTTTGTACCCATCAGTACACGCATATGTCTGTGAGAGTTTTTTTTTGTCTGTGAAGAGCGGTCCACAGACATAAGTTGGTTTGTTTTGTCTGTGGAAAATTTCACAGACAAAACAAACCAGCTTTTGTCTGTGGACCGCGCTGCACAAACAAAAGAAAACTCTCACAGACACATGCGTGTACTGATGGGTATAAAAACGTGTACACCAAGAATGGTTGTCCAAAAAATGCTTCTTGTACACACATTTGTACACACCATGTACACACTATAAATGGGCTTTAATTTTTTTACCTCTATTCCTCTTTTTTTCACCCTTTGTCTTCCCACTCCCTTCTCCCACATCCCTAAGTTACGCATCTCCATCTCAACCCCCTCCTCTAGTTTT